CTTCCTTCCTTCCTTCCTTCCTTCCTTCCTTCCTTCCTTCCTTCCTTTCTTTCTTTCTCTCTTAACATAAACATGCCAATATCTAAAAAAAGGCTACAGTCTTTAACCTCTGTGCTATTTATTGTTCGAGTTAAATCACAGAGGCCTACTTAGCGGTTGCACAGTCTGCACAAAGGGCTTATTAAGGTTGTCCTCAGCCCCTGTTGCCTTATCAGCACAGAGGATCAGAAAGAGCTGTATCAGCAGGACTTTTCCCTGCTGTGAAAACCCAAGAGAAGCAATGGAGGAGGAAAGATTTATGTTCGTTGCAGAGAGTTCAGTCCAGGGTTAGAGGGGTCCTGCTGTTTTGCGTCTGAGGTGAGAAGAAACATTACCTGGTAGAAATGCATGGAGGAGGAGGGTGCCTATCTCATGGCACCCAGGAATGGGAGGAGGTGAGAGGGAAGGGGAGCTAGTGCAGGGCATACAGGATGTATCTCTTCAGAACATACCCAACTTCCTCCACCTGGGTCTACTGCCTAACAAAGTCATCAAATTATGATCGATCAGAGGACTAACTCACTGATTAAGTAAAAGGACCAAGTCTTCTGTATATGAGACTTTGCGGGGGTGGTTTATATTGAAACCATAACAATTTCTAGAGAGAGAGAGACTCTATGTAACCCTGGCTGTCTTGGAACTATGTAGGACAAACTGGCCTCAAACTCTCAGAGATTTATTTGCCTGCCTCTGCTTCCCAAGTGCCGAGTTTAAAGGCGTGCACCACCAACATCACACCCAGCTTGAAATTTATTTCTTTTAAAGGGCATAATTATGAAGTCTTTGGGTCTTGACTTTATAGGGAGACTCTGTCTCAAAAACAAAAGAAAGGAAGGAAAGAAAAGTAAGGGAAGACACTCTGTTCAGTTTTGCTAATACCATGCTAACTATATAATTAAAATCTGCATCCAATCTAGTGACTGTGCATGCATCGAAGTGCAGACAGGTGTACACGTGCATGCATTGTGCATGAATATTCTAATGCAGTATAAATATAAATATATGTGTGTGTGTGCGCGTACCTATACAGTTTTCGCTACATGACGATGTATTGCTCACTGGTGGCCCATATTATGTGGTGGTAGCTCCGTAGACTACATAATGTCTTGTGATGTTATAGCTTTCTTAGTTTGTGTAAGTGTCCTTTGTTCATGATGTTTGTGTAAGTGTCCTTTGTTCATGATGTTTGTGTAAGTGTCCTTTGTTCATGATGTCTGTGCAGTGGAAAACCCAGTGGTAAATTTCTTGCCTTGTATACAAATTTCTAAGTGACATGTGACTGCCCATATGTATAGATACCTATATATAGATCTACATGTATGTGCACATGCATGCAGACACAGACACAGACGCAGACACACACACACACACACACACACACACACACACACACACACACACCCCTTCTAGTATTGTGAAGCCCTATCCTCAGAACAATCTATCATATGTCTTATAAAGCCTTCAGGAGTGAGCCTAGGGATTGTTGGCACTTCCTCAGAGAAGGCAGACCCTCACCTGAGAGTTCAGCCAACTGTCCCAGCCGTCTGTATGCACTTCTGCCCTAACTGCACACGCGGGAGTGTCTGGGGAGGGACCAGAACACGTGCTGGAGAAGGTTAGCTGATGGGCCTTATCTATATAGCTGCTGGGCGCAGACTTTCAGCTGGGAGACTCCACCTGCCGGTTTGGTTTTGTGGAGTCCTGGCAGGAAGCACTGGGTATGAAGTTCCTGTTCCAGGTAATGGGGCTACACCTTCAAGGCTGTTGATGGCTGAGAAGTGGTCATCAGGCAGGGGCAGCGCCTCACCTCCGGGCTACGATGAGGTATGTCCGGCTGTCAGTTCAGCCGCTTTGTCCTCTCTGTCTGAGCCCTGTCAAGCTCTGGGGGTGGCTCAGCCCTGTGAGCAACACAAGCTGATTTTCTAAGGGAGGAAAAATTGCTTCCTGATGCATCATCGTGGTGGAGGAGCAGTTCTTAGTCAGCACAGCTTCCCTAGGCTGGCAAGAGCTACCATAAAAAGGAGTAATTTGAGTTTTGTAAGAAAAGCTTACCCCGTCGCTCAGCTCTGTGGAGACTGTTGACCCTTTCATCCCCACACGTTTGCTGTTGCTGGGCCGAGACTGTGGGTGTCTCTTGTCTTGGTTTGTACTGTTCAGTGCTAAGCACCACCAGCCTGAAGTTTGCACTTCTTCTCCCCTTTCTTAAAGAAACAAAAGTTAGCTTGGCTTCGTAATTTAAAAATTCATGAATAACTCATAGTTTCATGGATAAACCATAATCCATGAAGCTTCAACCAGGATTTGCTTAAAATTATGTGAGTACATTTAAATATTATACAGAACTCCGAAAAATGTGTACAAATTTGTTTGAGAACTACACTATTCTCCCCTGTCTTGGATGTGCCAAGAGAAAGTTCAATCCTTTCCCCTTATTCTAGTCTAGCTGTAAACCCTTCCTAACCTTGGGCAGGAATCAGGGAATAGAACATTAGGGGCTGCTGCAGAGCAAATAGCAACCCGTTGTAAAACCAGAGCCTGCATCTGAAATACAACCAGGAACCCGACAGGCATCTTGTTTTAATGGCTCTGCCTGTGTTCAGTTTCTGAAGTCACCTGATGGCAGGCCCAGGGTTATTCCTTCCTCACCATGATGAATGCACCTCCCCTTAGCAAACTGCAAAGAGAAAAGAAGAATATTGAACAGGGACAGATGCCAGGAGCCCCATTTATAATCTATTAACAGAGGAACATTTGACCACGATCCATAACCTTCTAAGTAATAAAAGCATTATGACTAATTCATCATAAACACAAGCAGGGCTAGATTTGGATAAAAATTCACTCACAGATTCTAGGAGCAAAGGGAAACACCTGGCCAACCGAGCCTGCGCTACTCACAACCTGATGTCCTGACACATCAGTGAACTTAAAGGATAGGTTCATTCTAATGATAAAACTGCTCTCTGATGGCCCAGTAGAGGGTACAGACACTTTGGGGCAGGCCTAATGATGCGAACTTGATGCCCAGATCTCACAAGTTGGTGGGAGAGAACCTTCTTACAGTTGGCATCTGAATTTACTCCCATGCCATTGCATGCAAGTGCCTGAATGCACACATAAGCACACTAAATAAAAAATAACTTCAAATATATTCTGCTCTGTGTTATTTCCGAATGTTCCTTAGAATCACCTACTTGCAGTTTGAGAACACATTGTTCAACTTTTATAAACCCATTTACACGCTCTGTGAAGTTACTGGGTTGGAAGTTACTGGGTTAGAAGTTACTGTCCTTCAAAGTTCCTTGTAGCACTAACCACCCAGTCCAGTTCTTACTCGGGACGCAGAAGTCGTAAGAGTCAGGAGGCACCAGTCTCACAACAAACAGTCTGTTAAGTACATGTGCCAGGCTTGATCAGTCATCATAAATACAGGATGGAAAGGGTCCAGAGAGAGGGAGGAAGGTAAGAGTAGGGACAAAGGAGGAAAATCCCTAGCTGAGCTTTAGTATACAGAATAGGATTGTGTCTGATAAAGAGGTTTCTACAAAGGCAGACCATGTTTACTATGGGAGCTGTTTGTGTGTCAGTGCTTCAGAAGTGGAGATGCTCGGTCTAGAGGTTGGAACGGTGATTAAGGAGGGACGAGTGGTTAGAGATGCAAATTTGGAAAATTGAAAGTCTCATGCAGCAGGCTACCTGGTTCTCGGGCTGTAATGATCGAGAGTAGGAAGGGAAATAGTTATTAAGACAGACATGGAACTAGCATAGAGGAAATAGAGACAGAGAAAGAGACCAAGATAAGGGTAGAGAATGTGTTGGATCACTAGAGAGAGACACAGAATAGAGATAGAGAGTAGAGACAGAGTTAGATACAGGAGTGACAAAGACACAAAGATAGAAGAGGGAGGAGAAGAGGGAGGGAGAAGATAGAAATCACAGAAGATTATTTAAGAACCCAATGTATAATAAATACACAGGGATCATTAGCTAGCGATCTCACAGTTCATTAAGAAATTCATATGTAATCTAAGAAAGAAATCATCAAATTTTAAGACGGCTGGGCCCTGAAGAAAACCAGATGATTATTGATAGATAGGACTTGGAAAGTTTCCAGGTCAACATTTTAGTCCAGAAAATGCAAAATAAATAATGAAACATCATTTCACATGATCAAGGGAATCTAAATATCATCAGGATCCACATGGATGCACATGGTTACATATGGGTGTAAGAGTCTCATGCCCTCTCTTGCAGAATTCCAGCCCTGAATGTATCTGTTAGAGAAATAGCTAGACAGGCATGAGCAAGCACAGAGTGGATTTGATTTTTCATTTTTCAATCCTGTTTATTTTGGTAAAATGGAAATTATTTTCCTTATCAGCAGATGGTTGAAGAAGGTTATCATACTTTCTCCATATCCTTATAGCTGTTCAAAACCAGTTCAGCGTTTAGATGACACTTGAGGAGAACAAGGTGACAAACCACAGGTACAATATGAAAATACATGCAAGTACTACGAACTTAAAACAGCAAGAAATAGATTAGTAGACACATATTGCGCTGTTTTCCTTGTCAACTTGTCATAAATTAGAGTTATATGGGAAGAGAAATCTCAATTGAGAAAATGTCTCTCTAAGATCACCTGTAGGTAAATCTATAGGACAATTTCTTGATTAGATATTGATGGGAATGGGTCAAGCTTCCTGAGGTGGTGCCACCCTGGACTGGTCGTCCTGGATCGTATAAGAAGTTAGGCTGAGCGAACTGTGGGAAGCAAGCCAGTAAGCAACATTCTCCCATAGCTCTGCATTACTTCCTACCTTGAGTTCCTGCCCTGGCTTGCCTCAGGGATGGAGTGAGACTTGAGAATTGTAAGATGAAATAAACCCTTTTCTCCTCAAGTTGCTTTTGGTTGTGGTGTTTTATAGAGCAAAGGAACATAACACACATACACACGTGTTAAAAGTAGAAAACATGCATGAAAATGAAGTGTGTCAACACCTATAGGAGGAGGAGTAGAGAGGAAGAGGTGGGGACCTGGGCTGTGTCTGTTTTTCCTTTTCCTTCATATAGGGTATGAATGAATGATGTGGTCTTGACAGCAAAATAGGTTTTTAATTCTCTAAAAGTTCCTCCTGAAAAATAGACCAAACAGAATGGCAAATGGGACATTTACTGGAGGTAAATGAAACCAGAAGGGAGTCTTCATCCACTTCAGATGATGGTCAGGATGTTTAGCCCCTAGAGAAGGAGCATTGAGGACTGTTTGTGCACTGTGTGAAGATGTGTCACTGTAACTGGTTTAATAAAGAGCTAAATGGCCAATAGCTAAGCAGGAGAGATACATGGGACTTCCAGGGAGAGGAGGGCGGGGGGAATCTAGGCGTGTGGATTATACCGGGGACGTGCCTGGAGACTCTGAAGAAGTCAGACAAATGGAACAAAGCGGAGGTAATTGAGTCACATGGCAGAATGTAGACTAATAGATACAGGTTAAATTAAGTTACAAGGGCTAGTGGGACAAGCCTAAGCTAATGGCCAAGTTTTCATGATTAATAAGAAGTCTCCATGTCGATATTTGGGGGCTGGTGATCCAAAGATAGTCTGGCAAGAAAGCTTGCTACACAGAAGAATAAAATTAAGTTGATTGATAGAATGGTGAGAAATTAATGGGACTATCAGTAGAACCCACAATCCCAGAAGACAAAAATAGTACAATAGACATCTATTCTTACTCTAGATGGAAGCCAGAGAAATATTCCTGAGAAGATTCAGGAGGAGGGAGAGTCCACTACAGCTGCAGAGATGTGGGAAAGCCTACATGAAGACCTGAAAAGAGTGGGCAGGATTGTAAAGAAATTTCAGCTTAGAAGTCAGTGACAGTAAATTAAACCACCAGCCAATTTGCATTTAAGATTAAATTATCAGTAAACAACTAGTAAATAAAAAATGTAAAATGTATGTTATCTTATAGGCAACCTAGCCTAACCTCTGTAGGGCAATGGGTATGGGGAACAGGACCCTTGTCTAACTTTCCTTTCTGAAGCATCTTGGCAAATGGAGAAGACCCCTCAAGGGTGGGAAGTGAAGGCAAAAGTGTTTTTGCAGCCTTGGTTAATTTTTCTATTCATCAGGAGAAAAAGAGTTAAGTCTGAGGCTTTCCACAGAACCAGTGAATTAATTTCCAAAATTTCTACTTAGGTTCCTTATTTTCCTGTGTGAGCTAGTAAGAACATGCTTGTTTGCTGGACTTTAAATATCACCTAAAATACTTAAAACGCCTATATTTTTTCACAACTGTAATTTGTATCTGCCAAATAGGCTATGAACAGAGTTGCTGCAAATGGACACATATCCCACCCCATCCAGTACACACAAACAGTGCCCTGTGGAAGACCATATCTCTGCTACTTTGTTAAACATCAAGCATCTGTAAAAACTCAATACAGTGAACGATCAAGAAGAACTGGTATGTTTTTCTGAGCTGACTCTGAACTCTGTAGCCTTAAAAGATTCAGTTAATCACTTTGGAGTGTTACCAGAGTAGTGAGGTCAAAGCCCAAGTCCTGGTAGGTCTGAAAAACTAAACTTGGCTGTTATGATTAAAAAAAAAAAAAAAAAAGTGGGAGAGAGAAACATACCATACAACAGGACTCCATGGGAGGTTTACTGGAAGAAGAGAAAGAAGAGGCAGAAATGGGGCAGAGGGGGAACAGAGAGAGCTGGGTAGAGAAAGGGGTAGAGAACTGGTTCCTGGGGACAAGAGAGAGAGAGAGAGAGAGAAAGAGAGAGAGAGAGAGGAGGTGAGGAGCAAGGCCCACCTTTTAAAGGGGAACATAGCAAATGCTCTCAGTGGCTGTAACTGAGGATATGTCTTGTCAGGCAGGACCCCAAGGGCAGCCAGCACAGATGCCTAAATAAATACTAACATTGGCTCCCCCTCCTCAATACATCAATTCAAGAGAAAACTGATAAATAGTGAGAAGCTGAGAAAGGAGATTTATTCAATAGTCTCATTCGTAAGAGGAACCTGGAGAGAAACCCAGTGCCTGCCCCTCCCCTAACCCATCCTTAGGGTCCCATCAGGAGTTAGGTTCAAACAGAGGCTAACCAACCCTACTGGCAGATACAACCCCTCCTGCCACCACCTTTGTCCCTGCTCTCATGTCTGAACTGTGTGTCAGAGTTGCATGACCCTGCTTTCTGGTTACACCAGGCTCCCTGCCTGAGGATTGTGGGGGGAATCCCCATTCCTGGGGTCCATAGGCTCAATAGTCTGATACCACAGAGGGAGGCACCAGGATCTATCTGTAGTGTGTCTTCCCTCCCTCCAGGACCGCTGTTATGGTTCCCATCTCTGTGCAGTGGAAGCAGAGTGCAGCAGGCCTTAGGTCACTAAACGTAGCTGCTCCCCTTTCTGATGTATCATGGGCGTTTTTCACTTCATAGCATATCCAGAAAGATTATAGAAAAAGGGAAAAATACAAAATAAATGTATCACTTTGAACTTTGGTCCCTAAATTAACCAGCAATTCTAATTAATTTATGCCTTGTTACACTCTGAGACCTTCTCCATTGTGACTTCAGTTCTTCTACTATGAATAAAGACATTTACCCTTGACCTTTAATCAATGCCCAGCATGGTGAGAGCTGGGAGGGGTCTCTACAACAGAGTTGTGGAGCTGGGAATGTGTTTGCCAGTAACTTGGGTAAAATTTAGTTAAGCTGTTCTAACCTGGCATCTCTTATCTTCACAGGTAATTGTAGGCAAAAGAATATGTCTTGTGAGATGGTAATGACAATTAGAGCTACATTACTGCCAGATATATGGTAGGAAAACATCTTTATTGACAGGCCTGAGGTTGGGCCTGTGTTCTGTCTCTGAGTACCTAAGTGGCCAGACCCTGGCAACTGTGGTTGTCCAAGCGTAAAGCAGAGGTGGTATCTGTTTGAGCTACCCAACACAGCTCTTCACAGAAAAAAAGCTAACAGAATTACCTCTGACTATTGCAGTAGGCATTAATGTCCAAAAAAGTTCTGGTGCAGTTTTGAAATCACTGGATTATTCTTTCTCGCACTTGATCACTTCTACGTAAGTTGAAACTTTGATAACTATCAACCAGATAGCAAATATGCACAGTGAGATGTTACACCAGCAGACTTTGAGGCTGTGTGTTCAGCTTTTTCCACTTACCTTGTTGACGGGGACAAGCACCCTCTGCCTTCCAGCAGAACTGAGAGCAGGGAAGGCTGATCTTTCAGCCCCTGAACTTTTCAGAGAGGGAGATCTCTCTGTGAGACACACCCTCACACTGAATTCCAGCTTTGGTTCCTTACTCCTGCAAATCAGCAGGTGGAAAGTGAGGCGTGAACTGAGTAGCCAAGCAGATAAAATAATCACAATATGCAGCGATATCCCTCTAAATTATGCAGCATCACCATGAATTTGGTCAATTTTTTATGAGTGCTGGAGGACTGATCGCCTCATTTCCACATCCATTCCATGTTCTGAGGATCTGGCTTGTCAAATGCTGTTAGTTTTCTGCAGTTTCTTTCTGATGGCTTCATCTATATGTCATAACTCTTCAGCTTTGTTTTCATCAACTTTGTGAAGTTTCAGACCTTTCGCAAGTTGTGAAATTTCAGGTGACACACTGCTACAATGGCACCGGAGGCCCATTCAGGTAAAGCTGTTTCTTTTTTTGTCAAAAAGAACTGTGTCTACCTCTGGGTGGAGACAATGGTGTTCCTTAAAAGTTAATCCAATTGGACCAAAGGACCGCCCCTCAGGAAGGCAGATTCTCCTTCAGTCATGCTAAGGCGGTGTCTTGATGAGATAATTGTCCCAGTTAAGGTTCTTATTGTTGTGATAAAACACCATGGTCAAAAGAAAGTTGAGGAGGAAAGAATTTTTTTGGGCTACATTTCCATGGTTATATTTGTAACTGAAAATATTGTGTCTCCTTAGTGTGAGATTATGAGTTTTTAATAACATGATATTTTTTCTCAAACCTGGAACTCTCAGTTACACTCCTGTTATGTTGTTAGGCAATAGACATCCAACACTGGGTGATTCCTGTGCTTGCAGAATACAGGGAAGCGAGTGGCACGGGTTTTAACACAGTATGATGGTGAACTTCAGAGTTCAGGGAGGGCTAGGCAGGGCCTCAGGGACTTAGTGGACCCAGGAAATTTCCCACAGTACACCAGGATGTGGTGGCTTAAAAGAAAAGTAAGAGCTGTGTCCACAAGGGAGGGAATTTTCCAGATACTCCTCCCTATATAGACTTGTCTAAGATACGAGTTCAACATTTTGGAAACTAAATATCAGTTGGAAAGGAAAAGTATAAAGAGGGAAGAAGACAGAAAAGTCTAGGGAGGATTTTGCAAGCAACTTTAGGTTCTGTTTTGGTCTTTCTCCTAAAGGGAGGAGCAGAAAAACGATTGTTCCAAACAGGTCAGCCATCTTTTGAGATGCAATAAGAAAGGTGTCAAGTTAACAAATTAAGGGCTAGGAGACCAGTGGAGAGGAGAGGTTAGAAACATTCAGATTTCAGTGACTGGAAGAATGCACCAAGGGAGGAGTTGGAGCAATGACTGAATTTAGATTGTGGAGATTGGGTATCTAGGGAAATGTCACAGCTGTGATCAGCTGGTAATAAGCTGTAAAATAATAATAAATAATGAGAGTGTAACCTGAGACAGCGTAAAAAGCGAAGAACCTTCACCGTTCAGGATTGCAATGACCTAGGGGCGGAAGAAGTAAAATTTAAAATGAAACATTCCACTTGAACACTAGGCAAGATGTAAAACAAGCCTGGATCCTTTGGGGAGTGGTTTTTACAAAGATATCCCCTGGTATAATTTTAAAGCCTATCTAACTGCAAAGGTCACTTACTACACAGAGGAGTGATAGCTTTCCTTAGTTTGTCATAGATTTACTTGCTAATGGACGTTCTCTCTCTCTCTCTCTCTCTCTCTCTCTCTCTCTCTCTGTCTGTCTCTCTTTCTCTCTCTGTCACTTAGAGCTGGAATACTCTGCCTCATTCATCTTTGCTCAGGGTATGATCCAGACAGCTCAACACAAATAGTGACTCCAGTTCAGACCGCGGATAGCACTGTGCGAAGTGTGATAGCGTCTAGAGATGAGAAGGCACAGCTGACTGTCCTTATGTCCCCACAATCACAGGTCCACGCAGAACCTCACCTTTCCCTGGTGACAGAATTCAGGTGAGGCAGAGAATTCAATCACAAAAAAAAATGCCTTCCAAAAGCACAGCTCTTTGTAAACTGTTTCAGGCTGATGAGGACAGTGTTTTCAACTGAGACTCGAGATCTATGAATGAGTTGTGAAATCATCTTGGTGAATAACAACACACTTACTTTGAAAATAGCCTGGAAAGACAAGAATAAAATAGAATAGGAAATGACCTAAAACAAATGAATGTTGGGCAATCCTCAAGCATGGCCAGGACAGAGATGAAAGGTGTCTTTGGTTAAAAAACAAAACAAAAACAAAAACAAGTAAAAGGTGAGGAAATTGAAAGACCTGGATAAATCCAGATCCCCCTAGCAGGAAAACATAGAGCCAAAAAATGTAAGCAGGGAGGGAAGAATCAGAAATCTAGGATTAGCCGGTTCAGTGTTTCGGGAACTAGCTGAAGATAAAGTGTTACAAGCTGGGAGATTTCAGCTCCAGGTTCTTTTCGAGTAATATCTATGAGGACCCTGTGCCCTTCTCCCCAGAGAGCGATGAGTGACCAGAGCAAGCAAGAGAATTGTTTTATAATGATTCTTTACTAGCATCTTCAATATCCAATACATCAATGTGGTTTACAATCTTAATAGGTATGGGGGACTGATAATAGGCAATCACACAGGTAATTCAATATCACAATTATTAATCCTAATAAATCTAATACATAAGACCAATTCATAACCTTAATTTAACTTATCACTTATCCATAAAACACTTCTTTTTTTTTTTTTCGAGACAGGGTTTCTTTGTAGTTTTTGGTGCCTGTCCTGAAACTAGCTCTTGTAGACCAGGCTGGCCTCGAACTCACAGGGATTCGCCTGCCTCTGCCTCCCGAGTGCTGGGATTAAAGGCGTGCGCCACCACCGCCCGGCTTCATAAAACACTTCTTAACCTTAATACAACTTATCTATTACTTATCTATAAAACACTTCTTAACCTTAACTTATCCATTAACATTTCCCAATCTTATCAATTATCTATATGTCTTAATATTTCACACACTAAACATATGTATTAACATGTCTGTGCTCTTCTCTTAACATCCCGTACATGCATGAAATAGTATCATATGACCTGGTATTCTTCAGCTTAAAAAGGGCCTTTTGAATTTCTTCAGGCTGGACGCCTGACCGCACTGGGGGCTGGATAGCAAGGCTCTACTCTTGACCCCGTAGTCTGCGCTCGGGAGATAAGGTTCTGATGTCCTGTTCCAGGCTGGTATTGGGTGCTGGATCAATCCTTGACTGCATAGTCTCTGGCCTGGTGCTAATCTATCTCAGAATGTAGGGCCTTGGGACTCGGCTTTTCGGGTGACCGAGTCTCGGGAGACAAGGCTTTTAGTTCTCTATTCTCGAAGACGAAGCTTTGCTCTCGGGATGGCAAAGCGTTCTGTCTGCTTAGAAGATGAAGCTTTGCTCTCGGGATGGCAAAGCATTCTGAAAGGCAGAGTATCTTGTCTGTTCTCGGGAGACAGACCTTCAATGTCCATTCTCAGGGAATGAGGCTTTGCACTCGGGATGCAAGGTATTACATGTCTGTTTTCGGGAGATGAAGCTGTGTACTCGGGAGACAGAGTATTAGATATTTAGGCAAGGCATTTAATATTTCTGCCTTTCGGGAGGCAGGCTTGGAGGATCTCTCTTTCCACGAAGCCAGATACCTGGGCCATTGTGAGAAGTGAGATAACCATCCTGCTTCAGCTCCCTCTTTTTTTTTTAAAGTTTATTAATTTATAAAAGTTTCCATTTCCGCCCCTCCTCCCAACACCCTCCCACTCCCCCCACTCCCTCTCCTCCTCCCTCTCCATTCCTAAGAGCAGTCAGGGTTTCCTGCCCTGTGGGAAGTTCAAGTTTCTCCCCCCTCCCTCCAGGTCCAGGAAGGTGAGCATCCAAACAGACTGGATCCCAAAAATCCAGTATATGCAGAGGAAACAAGTCCCAGTGCCATTGTCAATGGCTTTATAGAAAGACCCCGTGCCAGCCACATTCAGAGAATCCGGCCACATTTAGAGAATCTGGTTGGATCTCGTGCTCGTTCAGTCCCAGTCCAACTGGCCTTGGTGAACTCTCATTAGATCAGTCCCCTTGTATCAGTGGGTGATCGCACCCCTCGCGGTCCTGATTTCCTTTTTCATGTTCTTCCTTCTTCTGCTCCTCATTTGGACCTTGGGGGGCTCAGTCCGGTGCTCCAATGTGGGTCTCCGTCTGTATCGCCATTCATCGTGGGATGAAGGTTCCCTCTGGTCTTGCCTTCTTTGCTCACATTCTCTTTCCTTCTGCTTCTCGTTTGGACCTAGGGAGTTGAGTCCAGTGTTCCAATGTGGGTCTCTATCTCCATCCATCGCCAGATGAGGGTTCTATGATGATATGCAAAATATTCATCAGTATGGTTATGGGCCAAGGCCGTTTCAGGCACCCTCTCCTCTGTTCAGAGAACAATCTGGGGATCTCTCCTTGGACCTGGGATCCCCTTTATAATCAAGTCTCTTGTAAACCCTAAAATGACTCCCTTAGTTGAGTTATATACTTCCCTGATCCCATATCCATCCTTCCTCCCTCCCCTCATCCCAGTCCCCCGAGCTTTCCCCACTCCTCCCCTACTCCCTTCTCTCTAACCCTCTCCCCTTCCAACAACCCCCCACCCCCCCCCCATGCACCCGAGGTTACCTGGGACTCTTGTCTATTTCCAATCTCCAGGAGGATAACTACATGATTTTCTTCAGGTTCACCTTCTTATTTAGCTTCTCTAGGATCACGAATAATAGGCTCAAAGACCTTTAGTTATGGCTAGAATCCACTTATGAGTGAATGCATACCATATTCCTCTTTTAGCTCCCTCTTTCAAGTCAGTTCGAAGCAGCCCTTCGCTTGATCCTTCCGATAACCAGGTGTCCTAGGTTATCAGTATCGACTGACCACAGAAGGGTGGGAGTCCCTCTTGTGTGGCAAGATTTTTTCATTACCATGGTTGCTGGGTGCAGCCTCCCCATCTGGCAGGGCCAGATGGGTGTGGCAGCCTTCAAGCAGGCAAATGTTCTCTTAGTATTTCACTTTAGTAATTTTCCATACCACACACAGGAAGAAATGCTTTTACATTATACTAAGTTGTATTCATTCTTATTCTATAAATTTCCTGTTCTATCTACACTACAGATTCCCCTTTTTTTATTCATTCAGAGGAATCTGGTTCCATTCTCATTACATAAAGTTAGATTGTAATCTTGAGAATAACCTTGAGAAACAGGGAGTTTCCCCCCTTGTGATTATCATTGGTATTTTTGGGATACTGTGTGTGTTTCAGGAACTATCTGAAGATAAAGTTAGATTGTAATCTTGAGAATAATCTTGAGAAACAGAGAGTTTTCCCCCTTGTGATTATCACTGATATTTTTGGGTTACTGTGTTTCAGGAACTAGCTGATTATAATCTTGAATAACCTTGAGGAACAGGGAGTTGCCCCCTTGTGATCACCACTGGACCTCCCTACCCCTTTCGGATTACTAGGTTGTGGTTTCTTCCCTTAAAAATCCCTTCTCCCAGCTACTCAGGGTCGAACTCTTCCCCTGCGTGGGTTATGAGTCTCGGCCCTCGTGCACTGGTTCCCATCTTCCCGTCGATTAAACCTCATGTGATTGCAGTAAGGTCGGTCTCTCATGAGTTACTGGGGGGGGGTCGTGTTATTCCAGGACTTGAGTGAGAGTCTCCCCCACTGGGGGTCTTTCAAAATGAGTAGTGTGTGGGAGCGTTAAGAAGGTCAAAATAGCTGTGCTCAGCATGCATAGGGATGGCAAAGGAGGTGACACAGGACCCTGATCAGGTACTTGTATTGAGCTATGAGTAACAACCAAGATGTTAACACATTCTTCCATGGACAACCACGAAGGCTCTTGCTCTGAGAAGCATCATAACAGCATGTCTGAGAGCTGTGGATAAGGTTAATTTGTGCAATAGTCAGACAGCCATTGCAGGTACCCAGACACAAAGAGCAAGATCTGTGCACGCTGACTTTCTTCCTGCTGCAGGATAGCCCATGTAGCCATGCCATCTAGGTCTGTCGCGGCTTCTCTGACAGTGCTCTGGTTTTGAGTGTCTCATTGTCCATATATTAACAAAGTTTCTTGACCCTCGAAGTCCCTAATTTGTCTGCCATGCTCATGACCAGATAACTAGTGTGCTCTTATTTGACGACTGTGTCCTGAAGATAGAATCTGTCCTTGCTTCAGATGCATCTTCACAATCCAGCATGTCTCATACACTGCTGTTTAATAATTGTTTATTGTGTGAGTGAAGGGTTAGTGACAGTTACTGTAGAAAGAAAACTTGAGTGCAGGGGCTTGGAAAGGTAAGCCAGAGGGATTCAGCAATTACTAAGCAAAGCAACCCACAAGGCAAATATTAAGCCTTTGTGTTTTTAAATACACATCATTCCCTCCTCTTGGCCAGGTACTGTGCTGGACCTGGGCAACCAACATGGCTGAGCGTGGTGTCCTAACAGGACATTGATGTGGGAGAATTGTCTGTATTCTGTCAATCATATTTTAATAAAACGCTGATTGGCCAGGCAGGCAGTATAGGCGGGAAAACCAGACAGGAAGTAGAGGTGATGCAATGAGAACAGGAGAATTCTGGGAAGCAGAGACGTTCCTCAGTCACTCCTGCACAGACCACCGAAGAGGCAACATGTAAGCTGTCACACTGAGAAAGGTACTGAGTCCATGTGGCTAATGTAGATAAGGATAATAGGGTAACATAAATTATAAGAACTAATAAGAAAAAAAAAGAACTAATAAGTAGCCTGACCTAATGGGCCAATCAGTTTTATAATCTTATAGAGTCCTGTGTGTGATTTTTCCTTGGGGCTTGCCAGCTGTGGGGTACTGGATGGGACAGATACCCCAACAAGCCGGCCCCTCATACTACATATGGCGCCCATGTGGATAACTGAATCCACAGAAAGCCTGAGAAAGTTTGGG